GGAGCGGATGGTGCGGATGGAGCGGATGGTGCGGATGGAGCGGATGGAGCGGATGGAGCGGATGGAGCGGATGGAGCGGATGGTGCGGATGGAGCGGATGGAGCGGAAGACGCTGATCCCTCTCGCAATGCAAATCAACAACCTCCACTCAACTGGGCAAGCCCTGCAAGATCCCGGATATGAAAAGAAACAGGAAAGTCCTTTTGGATCCTTTTGCTACGATGAGCATCTACCACGTCAATTCACGGGCCCGACTGGGGGTTGGCCCTAGGTATCCTGTCCAGCCAGCCACCATAATATGAATCAACTGACTGGACTGATATCTCAATCCCCGACAATTGATTTACTTCTTACACACCCGGTGATTCTTTGCTAAAACAATGTCATCCATGTATATATATATATATAGAAACCAAATGATTAGCGCGAGCCCTTCTTCAAGGAAGCGTGAGCTATCCTGCGTCCAGCTACTAGAAGCTATATAACTACCTTACTTAATTAAGTAGGCGCCTACTACTTAATTAAGTAAGGAGGCAAGGCCACGGGCTTTAAAAGAATGAAATGAAATTGAAATGATCTCTGTCTCTTTCTCCTCTCCCTCTAAATCATCCAAACCCAGCTCCGCGGGCTTGGTCCAAGGCACAATTGTTGACGAAAGGACAGTGATGGTCATAGCGCATGACGCAGTTGTCGCAGTCACTGCAGTGTGAGGCTCGCGGTGGACGAATGATCGAGCATGTATCTAGGCGAGGCGGGTGCAGGCAACTTACTGTGCCAAGGGAGGGCCCCGGCAAATCCTCCAAAGGACTGGAATTGCAAGTAGAACTATGACGCTGACGCAGGTGCCAAAGAATCTGTTCAATGCGCATGGTGCACATCAGTGTGGATGTGAATCCAGAAAGCTCGCTACTCCAACGCTGCCAAATGTCTGCAAAGTCGAAAGCCTTCCTTCCTCAGCTTTTGTGAGATTGTTCCTTCACCTTCCTCACCCAAGACATCGTAGCCCAAGGCCACCCTGAGCTGCTCTGCACTTCCTGCACGGACGGCAAGAAAAATAAAAGAGAGTCAGGAAAGACTGAGGATTCTTCCAGGAATGAAAACGTCTCATCTTCAAAGGCTGATGAGCCTTTCTGAAATCTCTGGACCCTTCGGTGAGGAGCCGTGCAAAATCAAACCCCTGCCTGTCGCGAGCACCACTTCACGTCGAGGGATGATCCCAGGCTGGGCCGGCAAAGCAGCACACGTCACGCGTGAATATAATAATAGAGAGACAGAGAGGGAGCCTAATAGCGATGGCTTCCAACCCAGAAGCAATGGCCTCCAACCTGGACGCAATGGCCTCCAACCGAATAGCGATGGCCTCCAACCTAGAATCCATGGCCTCCAACCTAGAAGCAATGGCCTCCAACCTCATAGCGATGGCCTCTCCCCCAAAAGGATGTTGTATAACAGATATGTAACATGGAAGGCCTGACAAACAAGAAGAGGTACCGTATACACAAAAGAAATGTGCGCACGCTGCTTAGCAAGTAGATGCAAGTAGTCACTGAAGAGAAATACGACCGTCAGCATGTTTACACTGGGTTGAGTTATTTCGAACGGAAAGAAGGTAGTGTAAGCACTTTTGCGAACCTCTTGGTCCTCAGCGGCTTGTAATGCATCTCCCTTTCTCAAACAACATGCTGATTGTTCGGCAACTCTGAGCTTCGCACATCAGTGCAGCACGTGCACAGGAGGAGTCCAGTGGTGGTACAGAAGACTGCCAGTGTGGCACCTCAACGACACCAAAAACATCTCAGATCCTGTGAGGGCACTAAACGTGTCCTACTTACTATTCAGCCGATTTGGCTCAACAACCCGCTCGGCATTCGCTTGATATTTTGGTGTCACAATCTTCCCAACTACCGTCTCATTCATGCGCCCTACCCAACCTTCATCTGCGCGCGAATGTGATTCGACGGGCATTTCTTGTTGTGAGGCTTTGACCTCCATCCCTGCTCCGTACATAGAAGGACATGATTGTTCATTCAGGGAACGAGCCTTCTACAACGCTGTCGGGGTGTATCTTCTTTTCATGCCACTTTTCACTATGCTCGACACCTAAAACCGGTGAACGTGATTTGCTCGATAACTCGTAGTTGCGCGGGCATCTCACTGCACATACTTGAGCAAGCATCACACAAGCATGTAGATATATGGTGTGTATAAATATATATATATATAGAGAGAGAGAGAGTGTGTTCCCCTGGTGACCCTCCTGCACATGCAAAATAGTTTTGGAACTTCGGTCGAAGTGTCTGGTCCGATAATTGTTCACTATTAATGATTCGAGAGGGTGCCCTCACATCGAGCTTCATCCGCGCGCGCCTGGTAGCAAGAAGATACCATGTGCCACCAGCGATGGTGCCACAAGGCCAAAGTATAGAGCACAAGGCACCAAAATGAAGCACCAAACGCAAATATTTGGGCAAAAACAATCATCGGAGCCTCCTGGCCGAAATACTTTTGTGGTCCCAACATGTCCCAACTGCAATCGTGAAAGCATCCGAGGGGCTCAAATACAGGCTGTTTCAATTTTGCAAAGCAGTTTCAATGCGGATGAATGTTCAACTCCATGGAGTGCAAACAAAAGCACAACATTAGAACACTCAGCTGCGCAAAGGGTCTACATTAGGCCTGTCATCAGCAGCCCCCCAACAGCAGAAAATGTTTTTGGATGGCCACCTCAGCGGGAAACATGGTCTCATCGGTCTCTCATCAAACCCAAAAGAACTGAGAGTAGAAATTGAATGTTGGGGGTGTTGATTGTTGACAAAACTCACTTGTTTTAAAATGTGTAAGTAGCTAAGTTGAGCATGTTGTCACAATGCAGGAGGCCCCAAAGTTGCGGCCAAGCATCTGCTCATACAAACGGACCAACTTGCCTCCGGGTCTTTGTGGGGGATGTGTCTTCAGAACATTTTAGAATCAATCCTATTGGACATCATACAGTTGGACATTGATAGAATACTTGGAAAGTGGCCATCGTCTAGCTCAAGAATACTTCTCAAAAAATCAGGAATGGGGCTGTTGACCCGCCTCTCCCCCGATCTCTAACACGGACGCAAGCGTCACCTGAATCGGTCCGGCCTCGATCGATCTGCTCCTCAAGGTCCCCACTCTTGGAGCCAATGCACTCGGGGGTCGGAGCTTCGAGCTTGCGCACCCGTCCAGTGATCCTTGGACAAAAAGTCTCTGTGAAAAGTCACCATGGCTCGTGTTTAGGAACCATACTGCACATCACCCGTCATTCTGGTGAGTGGTCATGCTAACTGCTAACATCTACTCAGGTATGTACTCCATTTACTTCTCATCTGCTTGATCCTGGTGGCCTTACATGACCTTGGACCTTGGAGCCTATTAAGGTCTTGCTCTAGGTCTATGCAAGTGTCCCAAATGCCGCAAGTACTGATGGTACTGAAATCAGAGCCTATTGGTGACAGGGCTCAGGTTCTGAGTCTCCTCCTCATTTCCAGCAGCTGCAGCTCTAGCAGTCAGCTCAACTGCTGGCATGGCGATTCTGCACTTTGGCAGAAGAGGCGGTCAGGTCATTGCTAAGCCCAGGGTAAAAGCCTGTCCATCTGTCCTATTGTGGCTGACAAGGTGCCACCGTGGTCTCTGCAAAGTTCCTTTGTTGCAAGATCTTGCGAGCAGCAAAGGTGGCAGAAGATGTTTGTTGAGAGGGAGTCTATGCCTTGAAGCTGGGAAGAAACAAAGAAAAGAGGGTGTGCGTGCTTGTGCATTTTTAATGCAACACACCAAACTAACAGCAATTCAATTCTTTGGTGCTGCAAGCTTCGTCACTGATGCCGACTTTGAATATAGAGGCATATTATATGGAGGCTAAGGTTGCGACATCCCGCAGTAAGCTTGCTAGTGCACCTGGCAACCCAGCCTGGGAGACTGCACGTGGTGTGTGCCTTTCCTTCCAAGCTCCACAATTGTCACCATGCGTGCGTAGTGCGGTTACATGATTGTATGGCACTAGTACTGGCCTTCTTGTGATCAAGACAATTGACAAACAGGACCTTACAAATGTAATATTCCTCTTTCAAGGTTTCCACAGAAAGAATCACCGTGGCACCTTGCCAGTCCAGCTTTGTGGGAACCTGCATGGTAGGCAAAGCCACTGCAAGATCAAAATCAATATGTCTGCAGAAGTGAGGCAACTCTTCACGCAAGTCAGGTGCATGTCATCAGGAACTTTAAGCAATTTAAGCAGCACCACCACCATTGATTTATATATATAGTGGTCTTAATGCTTAGTTATTTTGATGTTTTTGTTAATTCAATTCGCATTATTGTTTTTGAGTGAATGATGAGTTGTAAAAAGACTGATATACTTATATATATATACTGTAAGATATTTGTCATATAGAATATGTTAGAAATAGTTAGAATACATAAAATGGCACCACCCTGCAACCTGTCCCCTGCCGAAACCTGGCACTGCAGAAAAGGCCATCACAGCGTTGCAGCAAAGGTTCCAAACCTGGAAGAACCGGGCAACTTGGGGCACTGTAACAAGAAGCTACTAGGAACAAGTGCATCGCTTCTAGTAACAAGTGCCTTACTAGTAGTAACAAGAAGCTACTAGGGGCTCCTGGCATCGCCATTAGGAGCAAGGACGCTACTAGGGGTCTTGCAAGAACGAAATGTCGAGTGTTCCGTTCGTAGCGTCCTTGTTCCTAGTAGTAAGGCCAGGAGCCCCTAGTAGCTTCTTGCTCCTAGTAGCGATGCCAGGAGCCCCTAGTAGCATACTAATGTCTTGCAGTCGTGTGCCTTTTGTTTGAAAAGACAGTCGCGAAAAGACACGTGTGCCTTTTCCCAAGAAGTTGGAGATCCGCTTGGCAAAAAGAGACGTGGGCCTTCACGAGGGCGTTCCGCGTCCAAAGTCACCCAGACCTTCTCAGTGCCTCAAGGAGTTCGAGGGACTGAAGTTCAATGTCAGAAACACCTCATCGGTGGGTAGCTTCTTGCTACTTGTAGTAATGCACGTGTTACTATGCACTTGTTACTATATAGTATATATGATTTAAATGTATAATTATGCTAGCTGCTAGCTGCCCCTGATCCTGCTTTGTTCTAAGTTGTGGTGTTGATATGTTTGACCTGAAGCCTTGGCTACATAGCTATGAAGGACTTGAAGGAAAATCTCTGAAAGCATGAGGACCCCAAAACCTCAAGGAGGCTTGAAACTGCTCTGGTGGCAGTGTGTCCAGTGTGTCCATTCCTCCACTGATCCTGTCCCTCCGATAACCTGATAGCCTCAGATGTGAAAACCTGGTTGAGAACTTTGGTTCCGGACTGGGGAGGCCCTCTATGAGAGCCAGTGCCGCCTCGCAGCGGCACAACAAAATGAGGCAGCTAGGTGATAATTAGGGCCTAGAGCTCCTAGCGGGTTGTAGTTTCATCTTTGAAGCCTAAACAACTTCAGTTTCGCGCTTGTTCCAGTGGGCTTTAACTAACAGTAGATTGCCAATGCCCAAAGCCACCTCCGGATGCCGACCATCCAAGTGAAGGAGTCGAAGACCCCTGCGGTGCAAACACGCTTCGTAAGTTTGATTGCGCTACCACATCTGGCTACTGCCCGCCCTGTCTTGGTCGCTACTGCCAATCTTTTTCCACTTTGGATGCGGTCCTGGTGCCTCTTTTTGGAGGAAGGCCAGAAAATGTCCTCGCACTGCTTGTGTTTGCACTGTACGCGGCAGAACTCTTCAAGACAGCCTCCAGTCACACGAGTGAGTAGAACTAGTTTTTGAGCTGATGGGTTCATGCATTGGCTACCAACATCTGTTCAAAGTCGGCTGAAACAGTGTTTCACACCCCTAAACACCTACAAACGAAGTTGCAACTTCAACAGTCACCGTACAGTACCGTACCAAAGCTTTGCTCCAGCTTGCTTTGTGAGTAACCAAATACCTCAAAACCAGCTGGTTCTCTCACTGCATGTCAAATATCTGCTCAGGTGGGCACATGGTGGCCGCAAGGCACAGTGCACAGAACAGCAATACAAATGGAATTGGCCTTTCCAAGTCTTCACACTTGGGGAGAACAATCAAGCCACGCGCGCGCTAAGGCGTGCAAGTAGATGATGGATCGTGCATGGGCATAGGTGCCCGAGCAAGTCTTGTGCGGGTGTAGGCACTTGTGCTTGGGCCTGTGTGGATATGCATGGGCATCGCATTTGTTTGACAAACGTTTTCTGCATCTGCTCGTATGCTGGCACCCCCCTCTACGCTTCAAAAGACAACTGCAAATTGAAAGGCCCTTTGGGCCACTTCAAAGCTGTCTTGGTTCAACGTGAAACAGGCAACCCTCTTCCCGAGTTGGGTGAGGCAAGGTGAGAACCAATGAAAATCTATATCTATATTGGTGAATTAGTGGCCGCTACGGGCACTTCGAGCACTGGGCTCAGAATTGCGTCAAATGAGCAGCCTCTCCGTCCTTGGCGGAAGGAGACCGCCAGGCAATGGCAGACATGGGGAAAAAAGTATGACACCCTTAACTGAGTGACTGGACAGTTCCGAACTATGTCTGGTTTCCGTGTTGGCAAGCTTGAAGGCGTGTGGTGGTCAATTGCTGGCCTACAAAAAAGACTCACTCGTGGGCTTGGCCAAGCAACGTCGACTTTTGATGGCTCAAACTCTCCAGGCTCCTTGGTTCAGCCAGCCATTGGCAATTCTGTTCACAATGGCCATTGGCCTTCTTCAGGGGGCAAAGCCAAATGAAATTCCTGAAGGAGACGTACGTGGCATGCTTTGGTCACAGTGCGAGGACAACATTCGAGAGCTACATATGCTTGGGAGTGAGTGATCAATTTAGAATCCGAATCGTCCAGACTACCACTCCGAGAAAAAAGGACCTAAGGCAGCCACAATATGAAGCTTCTGCTGCACAGTCCCCAGCTCTTTCCTGCAGCAGGCGTGCCGAAACGTGACAAAGCCTGGGCTTGGGTGAGTCCCACAGTTCCAAAACAATGCCACGGAAACGGAGTGCAGATCGGCGTGGTCAGACTGTGCGGCTCCAGTTGTTCACTGGCCGGGTTGTTTTTGATGATTTGCCTCATCCATGTGTGGCTCTGTTTGCTCTACCGTCCATGTCGTTCTTTCAACAACGGGTGTGTATTCGTTGTTCTCTGCACCGTCTTGGTAATTTGCCCGAAGTGTTCACAAAAACCTTGGTGCGTTGCACAAGTGTGGAATATGTCCCTCCACTGCTCTAAAAACCTCACCCCCTGGATCTGTGACGACCATGGACCCCACACCTGATGTGGTCCAGGGCCTGGAACAAGCGCATGACTTCGATGCACCTGGTGACGACAAACACCGACGTTGTTTTCGGTCTGCAACTGCCCACGGTCCGCCGAAGTCGGCATCGAACGAGATCAAACAATCCTACAGATGGTGAGCGGTGAAATTGAAGTGTCTTCCTCTGAGTGGAATCGTGGTTAGATCAATTCCTGAGAGTGAATTTGGACCTTCACCTCAAAAATGTGTTTTTAACAGCTTCTGCGCATCAGGTGTGGCCACTATGCTCTTGAAGGGGGGAAGATCACGCTTGACCACCTTGGGAGTTCTTTTGGGGAATAAGGCCATGTTTTCTCGGTAAGCAGTCGAGGTTCATCGCCCACGGCTAGTCAAAACCTTGGAGTCAAGTGGAGCAGTGATGAGCCACGAAGGTGTGGTCTTCTTGTTTAGCTGAGAGACCTGGTTATGCTGCAAGTACGAAAAAATCGAGGCGAAGCCTGTCCCAAGTCCCAACTTTCACCTGGTCACTGAGCATGGTCCAACACGGCGAACACTACGATACCCCATTCAAAAATAGACTATATAATATGCACATAAAATTGCGTGTATATATATATATACTGTAGATGCATATAGTTACAGTATATTGCATTATTGTGCATGCTGTGCAAGAAGAACGTGAACGTCGGGATACTCCTTCACAGTGATGCCGGACATCTGTGGTCAGGAATTGACTGTCTGCCAGCATACGTTCCTTCAAAAAGCCCGTCTGGCACCTGGCACCACCTTTTAATCTCAAAGTGCCCAGCAAGAATTCTGGAAGCCCAATGGTCCTTAGATCCAGCGATTTGAGCTATTTCCACGTGGGCATGCAGTCGTTTTATACATGGGTCGATATTTGCGTGCTTGACTCTTTAAAGCCAAGACATCGACCCCGGCTGGCTCAAAAAGGTGATTGAGCAACAAAAGCTTTGAATAGCTTTGACACATGATATGTTGCAAATGTACTGTGCTTGGCGATAGCCCCATTCTATCTGTGCCGAAGCTTGCATGCGAGCAGCCCATCATGAGACGAGTCCAACAAATCAAACATCAGCCCGACCTCATCGCAACGCATGAAACAGGGAGCGCGAACAATGACAATTTACGCGTATACGATGTAGCTCGAAGTCCATGTGCTACTTGAAGTTCCCCACTAAAACACCTGACACGGAAGGAAACAAAGCATTGACCCAGAAGACAAAGCAACGCCTTACGTGACCAATCCAGTTTATCCTGGCACAGCAACTCTCCAACATGTTTAAACTCATTGCAATCTTGCCACATCTGACATATCAAGGCCCTGCCCTCCAAAGTACGCCATCACACGCTCATTTTTCATATACCTGGGTGCAGTGAGAAGCGGGGTGTCAGCTATTCAGCCAACAAAGCTGAGTGATGCTCAGTGTCTTGAATTTATGTGCCACTGAGCGACTGTGACAACTCAATGCGAGTCACATAGCCGTTTCCATCCACGTCAACCTCGTCAAAGAGATCCCTCATATCTTTCAAAAAGGCATCGATCTTTGCAAGTTCCGCCTCACACTCGGACAGCTTCAGCCAGTGATACTAGAAGCTCACCAACCGCCTTCACAGCCTTGTCGATATTTGTTGCCACATTGAGACTTTGGATAATGTATGTATGTATGTATGTCTGTCTGTCTGTCTGTCTGTCTGTCTGTCTATGTATGTATGTCTGTCTATGTATGTATGTATGTATGTATGTATGTGTCTGTATTTATGTATGTATGTGTCTGTATTTATGTATGTATGTATGTATGTATGTATGTATGTATGTATGTATGTATATGTATGTATGTATGTATGTACAGTATGTACGTGTGTATGTATGCATGCACGACTACAAAGAGAGAAAGCGGTGTGCTGTGAGATCAAGCTTCTGTACAATACACAAGTTCGCTCAGAAGCACACCAAATCGCATTGTAAGAATGTACGCTCTTCTATTGATCCTCCATGTTTGCAATGAGACCAAACCCCAAAAATTGATTGACGTATTGGGAAAATGGCTTGATGTGCCAACCCGCCGAATCCAATTGAAACGGGTGCGCTGTCGGATCAAAAGAATCACAGGTTTTGGGGGATTCTGCTTTGGTTTTCTGCTTGTCGTACTTTAAATTTCTTCAGGTGGCCCAGCTGTGCGGGCGTGCGCCTGAATCAGCAGGTCCCGATCTTTGATTTGCAGCGCCATTTCGACAAAGAGCGCGGAAAGGACATTCATAATGCAAAGAACAATCAGTAGTACCTGGTTGGCACTCTGCAGGAGCTGAAAAAGAACTGCCCATGTGAAATCGCGTTAGAGCGACTAAAGCAGCCAAAGCGGCATAGAAGAGGAAAGCTGCAAAGTAGAAGTACGACATGTTCATCAGCGGCTTCGCGATCTGATACCTAATCTGCAGGATGTGGAACATGCAACCTCAACACTAAGTGACTGCTGCACGAAGGGTCAACAATGTGGAGTGATCTCTCTCAAACCCATTCAGTGTTGGCCTCAGCATGCCCACATGCCAACGGGACCATCCCATACCCCATGCAGTCAAGTCGCCAATCGCAACCACCTCACGGAAGGCAACACACAAAAGACATACAAGACATCACATGACTAAGGAGAATCATCATGCAAAAGTGCCGTCTTTGGGTCTTGTGTGATCTTGTGCCATCTGCACTGACATGATGATTCATCTCGTATCCATGTTCAGTGAGAGTGCTACCCCCTGAGGGCCCAAGCCTGTCACTGACATCATCAAGGACAGCATGGTTCGCAGCCTCAGGTTTCCACGATGCCAACTTCAAGTCAATCAACTGCGTCCTTGTTACTACTAGTAAGGCACTTGTTCCTAGTAGCTTAAGTCAAGTGTGAAAAGAGGTTTCTAATTTAATTCTTGTTCCTAGTAGCTTCTTGTTACTACTAGTAAGGCACTTGTTACTAGAAGCGATGCACTTGTTCCTAGTAGCTTATTGTTGGCTTCAGTTTGTTTTTGTTTATTCTGGCTTTCTGACGGGGTGCCACTGGCCCAGTTGAAGCAGCACGCCGCTTTGCAAGCACTACATTTGCAGCCAAAATGGGTTCAAAATGCTGTTCTACAAAGGAATTTGTCTATCCTATGGCAATGGGCGTCACCACTATGCTCTCACTCTGAACAATCAGGAGCATGGGAGAGTAGCGTCCTTGCTCCTAGCAGCGATGCCCTTTGCTCCTAGTAGCGTCCTTGTTCCTAGTAGTAAGGCCAGGAGCGTCCATGCAAATCCGAGTTTCAGCGATTGGAAGTGCACGTTCAGCTGTTGCCTCAAGCCATCAGCCGTTAAGAGATCTGTTTGGTACGCGCCGGCAAGCTCGGCAACTCCTGGCAGCTGAGTACGCCCATAGCAATCTGAGTCCGCAATGGTCTGTCAAGTTGCGCAGCCTGCAACTCCATAGCTTCTCAGGCCTTTTCCAAGTGAGGGTAGGAGCTGCATCGCATGAACGCCAGCAGACAAGCGAAGCGTTTCAACCACTGCTCCTGCAGAGATGACGACAATCGTGGGATCAGCAGGAGAGGGCTCTCGCAGCCACCTGGGCGAGGCCCGGAGCGAGAGGAGTTACATACAAAGGGCAGGCACAACCCCAAAGAGTCCGCCTAATCCGCCTCATGGATCATTAATCTCCATAGTTGTTCAAGGGCAATGTGAGAAGTTGGAGGCAATGCAACCAGCGACAAAGGAAATGAGGTCAAGAAACGGGTCTTAAAGCTTCACCCAAGTAACGTGGCAGCTCCTTGAGCACACAGTATGGCAAACCTCGGCTGGCCGCATGGTCTGCTTAAGGGAAGAGGGTTGTTTTATGATTGACCTCCTTCACACTCAAAGCCAAGCCCCAAAAGCATGATGTGGTCAGACAATCTCACGTAATTGAGGAGCTTGCGGATCCTTCTTACCGACTTCCTGTTTGACAGATTGCTTGTCCCTTGGGCCCAGATGCACATAGGTCACAGTGATCAGCAGCGTCACTGCCCAAATCAATGACATCAAGGAGTTGAAAATGCACACCTGAGAGCCGAAAGAGAAGCTCTTCGGGGCCTCCAGCTCCCTTCTTTCCGCGGCCTACTTTTGTTCAATTGCTTCATGAAGAAGACCTCGTCTGATGAGAAAGAAGTGCTACAAACCTAGTCCCCCCATCAGCGTAGTCAACACAGTGAATAATGTGTGTTTCTCTATGCCAAGGCATTTACACACATCCTCCATCGCACAAGGGTGCCTATATACATTGTTACACGAGTGAGGCTGTTGAGAAACTCCAATCCTTCTGCTCCTGCACCAGGAGGTACGTTTGCATCCAAGCTCCAACTATATAAGGACTTGCGTGGTTCATCATTGGTGACATGTCAGTTTTAGCTGTGTGATGCCAATCCAGCAAAGTCCCCAATCTGGCGTTGAAAAAACATATCTGCACATATCTGCACTGTGTTGGACAGAAGCAGCTGTTGCAGGCTCCGGTGTCTTCAACATGATTGCCAGTCTTCCATCTCACACGATATGCAAGTGTGCAACATGCCTACGCCGAGGAATCTGCACAAACAAATTATACCTCCATCCGGTGCCTACACATGCTACACCAGATACCTACAGTAAACGAACCTATACACAAGTACGACTCAAGAATTGCAACACACATGTCAGTTCCGCTTTCATAAACCCTACATTTGATTTACAACAAGCGCTGCCAAAATGAAAGTCTAGGCAACGTCGCCTGCCTCCAATGCCCTCACGCAAGGGAGGTGAGACATCAAGATTATGATATCAAACAGACTGTCCTTTCTGATTCTGGCGATGCAAGCGTGGCGGTATTTGTAGCTGGCGAGTCTAAGTCTAATGGCTTTTTATGTGCGTCACTTTGGGCATGTGAATGTATATATCATGGGAGTACATGACTTTGAAGTGCTTTGGGGCAAGTGCTGATGCCGCTTCGAGCCTGAAACGGATTGCTTTCTTTGCATGCTTTCCCAAACTTAAGAATGGTCATCCGCACTTCACAAAAACCAAGTGGCAGAAAATATTATCCAATGTTTGATTTTGCGCATGGATTTTTAGCATGCATAACTGCGGGGAGGGCCCAACAAGCAAAAGGGATGCATCGTGTTAGTACTGTAATAACCGGTGCATAAGCCAAAGCCGGGTGGTACCTATAGCGTTCTCGGCATTGATAATTGTTGCATGGTTTGTTTGTCCAAGTGACCGAGAGAGACGACCAGGGACCTGGGGACCAAGGACGGAAAGGACTAGGAGGCTATACAAAGGACTTCACCTTAGAAGATTCTCTATGAATAGGAGGAAGTCTTGTAATGCGAAACTATGCTACATATAGCATTGTAGAAGAAAATTCCTTCTGACACGAATCATGTCCTAGTCTTAGTACGTATGTCTTAGTCCTATCAGTCCTGCTTGACACCACCGCAGCAAAGTCAGGTGCAGCTCAGGTGCCACCATCATTCGGAGCTCCCTGAAGAAATGGAAGAGGCGAATCACGCGCCTGTGGCTCCATTGGTGCGCTACTGAATCATACACGATCATACTTTGGATGACCACCCAGGAATCCCAGGAACAAACAGGAGATTGAGAATTTCCCTTTCCTCTGGCAGCGGTGTTCTGGTGGCTTCAATGAGCATTGGTGGGTGGCCATCAGCTTAGCCATGGCCGCCAGGCTGAAACCCTGGATGCAAGAAAATCGCTCACTATGCCCTTGCAAGCAAGGTGCAATGTTCGAACCTTGGAAGAGTGGGTTCATTTCCAATGAATGAACCAGGCTGATGGACAACCCCGAGCAACTCACAACTGGGCAATCAAAAGCCGGGCGCAACCTCAGGATCAGGCCAAACGAAGAATCCGAATCGCTCCTCGGAAGCAGCAAGAACTGGGCTCCGGCGAAGGAGTGGAAAGCAACACATGCTGCCACCAAAGTGCCTAATAAGTACACGAACCTAATAGCGATGGCCTCCAACCTAATACCAATGACCTCCACCCTAGTAGCGATGGCCTCCAACCAAATAGCGATGGCCTCCACCCTAGTAGCGATGGCCTCCAATCTAATAGCGATGGCCTCCAACCCAATAGCGATGGCCTCCAACCAAATAGCGATGGCCTCCAACCCAACAGCGATGGCCTCCACCCTAGTAGCGATGGCCTCCAACTTAATAGCGATGGCCTCCACCCTCTTAGTAGCGATCACCTCCAACCTGAATAAGGCGGGTCATACCTGAATAAGTTAATCGCTGATTGGTTTCGCCCGCTGCAGCATCCATTTTCTTGCCTTCAACCACAGGTTGCCACAAAACGGCGTGTCCATGATTTGGTATTGGTAGGCGTGTTACCTGAACCTATGGAAGACCAATCCCCCAATGAACAAGCTGTTTGCGGGGATTGGCGGCGCATGGTCGCACCATGTAGGACTGTACTGCGGGCACTTGACGGAAGTTGAACGACTCATTTGGCAAGTTTCGCATGCCGCCCACGGAGAAGCTTTCTAGAAGGATCTCGGCAGCCTGCCGTTGGTTGGACGACAACCACATCAAAAAACAGGAGAAGGTCAGCGGGACAACTTGCAGGTTTCTTCTCAGAAAATTACATCGCAATTCCCTAACCTCCAACCTTCCGTGCATGGACACATGTTTATCATGCTGCGTTGGTACAACTAGGATAACTAGGTTGGTGTTGTTAATGCAGCACATACACATGAGACACAATTACTGTCACTCGACACTGTTCCTCTCTCTTTCATCTTACAGTAGGACATTGGCATCGTTTTGTCAGTTTGCTGGTTTGTTCGCATGCCAGGCCCGTAGGCCATAATGTGATTGAAATTCTTCATGACGGGCCAGTGGGCTTGAGTCAGCTCAGATTCTGGCCGGGTACGGCGAGGAGGTTTGGGGGACAATGTCATGCAGATTCATGCAGTGACAAAGCTTTGTTCATTTTAATTTCCCCAAACAGTGTGGACACACTAGGGGTTCTTACATGTTCTTACGGTCGTCGACAAGCACCGGTGTTAGATTCGAGGTGTCGCACCGGGGCGTCCGGCTAATTCGTTGCTATTTAATCCCTACCCATTCTGGGTGGGGGACCTGAAAAATTGCAACTTACATGTTCCCCTAACATAGACCTAACAAAATGTAAGTTACATTTGTTAGGCAAACCACCAAAAAATGCACTGTAACTATTTTAAGTTACATTTTTCAATACAAAAATGCAACTAAATCGGGGAAAATATACGACCTAACAAAATGTAAGTTCCATTTGTTAGGCAAACCACCAAAAAATGTAACTATTTTAAGTTACATTTGTAACTAAATCGGGGGAAATGCAAGTTACAATTTTCAGGCCTTTTCAAGGGAAAATGTAACTTGCATCAAGTCACATGTCTCATGGTTGAGCAACTATGGCGTGTCCATGCTGTTTGTGTGAGGCTGTTTGTCCATTATATCCTGGGTCATAGTGGAACACACATGGACCTGACTCCCAGAACAAAATGTAACTTAGGTGTGTCCAGGCCTGGGATATGTGCAATTTCACCTGGTATGTGATGTGTGAAGTTGGGCTTGGTTACATTTAAGTGCACCTTTCTTTGCTAGGTTGGTTGTGTTTTGGGGTGTGTGAGGCCGTTTGTCCTTTGTATCCTGGGTCATAGTGGAACATATATGGACCTGACTTGAGGGGGGGTCTGAAAAATGCAACTTACATTTTCAGACCCCCTCCGCCTCCTTCGAAAAATGTAACTTACCCCCACCCCCAGATACCCTAATTGAGGTGCATGAGGGGGGGGTCTAAAAATATAACATGATGCCTGCCAGGTGTATAGTTACATTTTCAGACCCCCCCCTACCAAAAAACACATCACATATCAGGTGAAATTGCACATATCCCAGGCCTGGACACACCTAAGTTACATTTTGTTCAGTCATGTCCATACATGTGCCAACATGACCCAACTAATAAGTGACAAGGGGGCGGGGATGCTATTTACAGTACATTCACGCCTCTCGAAGTCCTCGAAGTGCATTTCGACTGCGCAGGCTCACTAAATCTGGGTGTCCGCGGCGGGTGCTTATCATCGCGACTGCGCTCTCGTTATGGTGCCGCGCGCATTTTCGGACGTGGTGGCCACTTTTCGTGGCAGGCGCAACAGAAGCCTCATGAAGCCTCCTGCTTTTGTGGTCCAAAGTCGACTTTTCGTGACAGGTGCAAGGGATCGGAGCGGCTTTACTTCGAAGTGCAGATTTCGTCAAGGAGCTCAGATTTCGTGACAGGTGCAGCACTTTGTGAACCTCAAAGTGCAGATTTCGTGGCAGGCCCAGCACTTTGTGCTCTCAGCTGCTCGCACTTACTCTCACTCTCCCACGCTCACTCTCACTCACATTCACACTCGCTCACACTCACAGTCACACGCACACTCACACTGACTCACTGTCACTCTCACTCTCACTCTCCCTCACGCTCACGCTCACGCTCACTCTCACTCACTCACACTCACTCTCACTCTCACTCTCACTCCGCCACCATCACCACAATCTCTACCTTCATCACCACCATCACCTCTCCGGACCCCACTGCGTCTAGATCTCTAGACTTTCTGCTACCACACCTCTAGACCTCACACACACTGTTTGGGGTCTCTTGCCGTAATAATTTCCTTTGAAGTGTAAGGCTGGGCTACCAGTCTATGAGCAGCTCCGTGGCATAAATGAACCCAAGTTCCTGAGTTCCTGAACATATCCACGAGTGATGTGCCGTCCAGTTTGTTTTGCCGTCTTTGTTTCTGGCTATGCCGTAGGCATCTGTAGGTGCCTGCGTGATCACCAGGAAGGCATCGAAAAGGTTCCACGCCTGAGATCCAAAATCTCATCAGTTCAACCCTCTGGTTCTTGTGCTACGTTTCTTTCAAGAATGCGCTGTGGAAGACCCACCATTTTTTACATGTTGAACTTGCTTTTACGTCTTAGAGTCTTATTATACAATTACCATAGATTTCATAACAAAGCCCCTTGGTCCTTGGAGAGCCCTTTTGTGACGTGTATACCGTACGCACATGAAGCTGGCACTCTCACTGCCCTTGTCTCACGGTCACCATGGAGCACTGAGCTGCGCACATGGTCGTCTCCGCGGAAGAATTCTCCACGGAACGCAGCAAGCTGCGAGGAAAGCACAACTCATTACGCAAAATGTATCCAAAGATTCCAAAGATTTGTTGGCTTGGTGCAACCAGTGCAAACCTTCCCTCCGATTGGTGGCTGAGCAGTCTCTTACACAGTCTTACACAGTACTCTTCTCTTGGTGTCCTCCGGGGGCAAAACAGAAATTGAACGCAGAAGTGCCCGTTGTTTGAACCATGGTACTCGTACCCATCTGCTCATGGTAAGCGGTAAGCGACAAGGCAGTGGCGGCCTTGATGATGACCTCGAAGCCAAAAATGCCAAGGAAAATGTAGTTGAGGATAGCAAACCTGAAGCGAAACGAATGGCACGGGCGATGAGTTTAGATTATATAGTGGTTGCCTCTCACAAAGGCTGGTCTGAGGCAGAGTGTAAGCCAAGATCAGCTAAGTACGTTCAGCATCGTTCAACACATTCTTGAGGCAGTCCTTTAGGCCGAGGAACGCCTCTGGGATTGGCTGTGCGGGTGTGACCAATGCGCCAGAGACATCGAAATCTACTTCGACTCCCATCGCCTCACGCGGCTTTGCAAAAGATGCAGCAAAGTTTGGCCATTCATCTCAACCATATATTAGTAAGGCACCTTGCTACTAGTAGCTTCTTGCTACTAGCAGTAATGCCAGGATATGCCAGGATATGCCAGGAGCTACGTACTAGTAACTAGTACTTTCTTGTTACTACAGTCATTTCGTTCTGAGGGTATGTAACCGTCATGGTTTACGACTAAGACTAGGCGGTATCCGATCGTCTTCGATCCCCTCACTTTTGTTGTCGATCAATGAAACATCCCCGGCAAATGCTTTCGCAGTGGTCCGCCTTTAGTTTTTAACAAATCCAATTCCACCTCTGACAGTTAAACACAAATGCCTCCAACCATCCCTATCAACCATTACCTCAGCTCTAGAAACCAACAAACAAGCATGTTGGTGACATTTGCCGCCTAAATACCAGAAGTGTCCCACATGAACGAGTATACATCGCCGCATGTCTTGCCTCCGCGTGCGATATTGACGTATGACATAAAAATAATGTAAAATACATATACATCCTATATATAAGTTGCTCCCAAACACACGTCCATAGAACAAAAGCACACTACACACTGCGAGTCTTGAAGCGAAAACATCCCAGTACGATCGACATTGACAAGTCCGCCGCGGACATTGCAAAGTTAACATGAAAGCAAAAGGACTACCGCTCCATTTGGTCACCTCTGGTCACCTTTGAAATTGGTCAAGCGAGTGTGTAAGTGTAAGCGTGCGAAAGTGTATGATTTCCTGCGCCAAACTTGGGACACCCGTCCCAGTGCACCCCTTCCACAAGCGCAGCTGAAGTCACCAGGATGTTGCCGAAAATCGCACAAACGGTGAGGATCTGCGCGGAAGAGGCAGCCAAAGGAACTTACAGTAAGACTTTGAGCATGGGGAAAAGGCAACCTAACGAGCCAGTCAATTGAAATGAACAATGTTCAAATGTGCCCCAAGGCTTTGCAAACCCCTTTTGTTTGCTTCAGGACAAAGCAGCATGCAAAGTCTGCGCCTGAAAGCACTTTGAATGGACCCACTGTTGCAAAGTTGTCATCTTTGCCTCAAGAAGGCACGTCAGCTTCTTTGCTTGAGCGACGAAGTGCAACACCGAAGATCTGATTCAAGCTTTGCATGCTTTTCTATAGAATACCTAATGACCTAATGCGCCGAGGCCCTGACGATATCTTTGGTTTTCAGAGTCTTCTTTTGGGTTTTGAAGGTCCGGAATGGATTGGTGTTGCTCGCCTCCCAAAACAACAAGCGTCGGTCAATAGCGGCGAGAGGTTCTTGCGCCCTCTACACGTCATAAGGCTAAGGCGCCGCATCAAAACTTAATGACCTGGACCTGAAGTTCCTTTCTTCTTGGCTATTATCGCATCATGCCTTCTCCATCCGTGCCAGGTGATGGCTGTCGTTGAAGTCAAGTCTTGGCATCATGGACCTAAGGCATATAGTGGGCCAATGAAATGAAATGGAAGATGCCCTCACGACTCTTCGAGGTGCCCCCCTTCTGCTTAATCATGAGCATCGGCGTTGCTCATGTTCTTCATCAAGGACACTGGCGTTACTCTTGCAGAATTGAAAGTTCTCTTTGGACGCATGTTCCCACTGTGTCTCCAACGTTCCCATCCGAGAAAACCCCGCAGACCTGACCCACATCTCTTTCACCTTCAGCAGCAACTATCACTCTACATTTTTCAGTTAGCCCATTCTCAGCTGGGCCCGTGGCATCCTGCCATGCATCGTAAAGTCCTTGTAAAAGGTTGCAAAGAAGGGGATTGGATTGAGAGAAGTCGCTCTACGTAGAGTTGAGCACAAACCTTGGACACTGTGCATAATCCATTCACAAAGTCTGCTTGTTCACAATGTAAATGGCCGCCTCATCTGGCCGAAACTTGGGGCGCGCACTGCAGAGCACATAGGTCTCAGAACGTCTTCCTATCATAGCAAAGGAAATGCAAAGGGGGGAGTTGTGAGTTGTTGGGGGTTAAAGGAAATGTTAAACTTTAGTAAACTGTACTGTAACAGCATCAACTGCACCATGGAGGGCTTATCATATTACCCCTCTGCTCACGCAGCCGCAAAGTCGACCATCCTGTGATTAGACTCCAGCTTATAGTTTGTTTGATGTTCTTTGCAAAGTAGTCAGTATTATAGTCCAGTTTGTTGACTGCACTGCATTCTGAGCCTGCGATTCCGAAAGGAAAACGGACAGGAGTCAACTTCTGTTAGACCAGAACTCAAAAGAGTTTGGACACATCGTCGTCACGAGGGCATGAGGCCTCCGGTGCTTTCTTTGCAAGAGAGAGGCCTCCTTGCTTCACCTCAGGTGCGGCTTGCAAAAGTAGGTTGGCAAAAGGCACTTTATCATTAAGCTAGACTAGGAAGAGCACTTGAGCCGCTTGAGGTTCACAAATGTGATGGAATCTGTTGAGTTTACAGGCTATGGCAAGATGCACCCAGTCCGGAACAGGTGAGGCCCATCCAATGATGAAGGTCAAGCCGCTTGTGTGATGTACTCTTGCACCAGGTCGGACAGTGCCTGAGGGCAAACCAAGGGTTTGCTGTAAGACAGGGTAGTTTCATCAGCCAGTAGAAACCCCACCTGGATCTGTTTCTGCATCTTGATGTTCTGCTGGCTAATCAGCTCCTGTTGGTGAGGCAGCAAAAGAGGGGTGGGGTAGGTTGTCTGCTTGCCAGACAACATCAACCGCCACCCGTGGTACCTCCGTCTGCTGTTTTGCAGGCGAGTGGTAGGAAGCTGCTGAGAAACACCTTGGACATGACACGGCTAATAAAGACTTGGCATCAATCAGGCCCGTGGTCCTGCACAAATTGCCTGGGCCAAAGCACACGGTCTCATCTGAAAGGCTGAAAACGTGTCTTCGCAAGATCCAAGCCGTGGAAGTCAGCTCCAGTGTCTATGAGTGAAGAAATCTCAAAAATCAAACATGTTTCCTGGTGAAGTTCAATCAAAACATCGAAGAACGTCAAAGAACGGGGAGTCCTCCTTTCTGACCAATCCCTGTCCCTTCAACACCGTGTAGGTCGCCAATGGTCGTCGTCTGATTCGGTAACCAAACGGTCTGATTCGGCAACGATGATTCGGTAACCAAAAGCGCTGATTCGGTAAACAGAACCGCGCATTCGGTAAACAAAGCCTGATTCGGTAACCAAAACTGCTGATTCGGTAACCAAAGCCCGCTGATTCGGTAACCACAATCATGAAACCAAAACAATATAACAGTTCTAAAAGAAGAAACTGATGACCCGGCAGCGGTAGTGGTAGTGGTAGTGGCAGTAGTAGTAGTAGTAGTAGTCGTAGCAGGAGTAGCAGTAGCAGCAGTAGCACCAGTAGTAGTAGTAGGAGTAGGAGTAGGAGTAGTCGTAGTAGTAGTAGTAGTAGTCGTCGTCGTCGTCGTCGTCGTCGAAGTCGTAGTAGTAGTCGTCGTCGTCGTCGACTAAGTAGTAGTAGTGATAGTAGAAGTAGTAGTTGTTGTGGTGGTGGTAGTAGTAGCATTTCATCACAAAACAACCAGGACTGTGTGCGTGCCTCTCTTGGTGGTCACAAGAACACAGACCAACAGAAGCTTTTTGGTCGAACCATGCCAAACTAGCATGGCAAAATCCTCAACAAGTTCATCTTCATCTTTCCAACTTAATCTGCACTCCGCCGTAAATACAACGATCAGGAAACTAGGATGCAGAAACCCACCGATTGTTTCCAACCATATGCTGTAAATACAATCATATTCTTAAACCCCTTGCAGCCACATGGAACGTTATTATCTTGGCCCTCACTCTATTCAGCCGTATGCTGTAAATACATGTAAATACAAACATTTGAATGAATGTTGAAGCCCTTTGCAACCACATCGATTGTTATTATCTTGGCTATGGTCCCCCCCGACCCCACACTCCTCGTGCCCTCCCCCCCATTGCAACCATCGTCTGGCTTGGTTTCTGCATCCGTCAGCTGTTTTGGTTTCTGAATCGGCAAATCTCCGTCGCCAATGGCCCAATGCCCAGCCAAGTCGCTGCGTCTCCCGGTTGGCCGTGGCCAAATCTACCCGAATCTTGCTGCGAAGAACATCTTCGTCAGCTGCTCCAACGGCACAACCTGCAAATACAAGTTCGATCAGTCCAGTTGGGGCCCCGGCATCCTTTCATTGTGAGAGTAATTGAGAGTAGATGGCTCAAATGTCAAGTGACTTCAAGTGATGCTTTCCAATAATTTCACTTAATCTGGGGCGATGGGTTCGTAATTAGGGTTGCTCTTCCAGCATAAGGCGCGGACATTGGCCAGGAGGTGGCATGACGGCCACCAACTCAGCTTTCGCTCCTAAAATTAAATGCCACGAGTAGCATCTGACGGCACTCACTACCGGCAAATATGCAATAGTGTGACGAGTGAACTTTTCTCTTATTTATCTTAAACAGTCTCAAATATGTACAGGCTTAAATTGTACGGATGTGTATATATATATATACAGTATATGGATGGCCTCCACACAATTATATAATCCCAGGCAAGCGTCCGAAATGATCACTGCTGAAAGCTAGCGGCCGCCAGAGAATGCACGTCCGTCGGCTGCGTGCAGGCTTTTCGATTAGATACACGTGAGTGATGCTGTGGATAAGCAAGCACGCTTACACTACTATGATTGAACATTGTAAGCTATATTTATAGTTGTTGATAGTTTATATTAATGTGCCCTATGAGGGCAACACAGTGGTTTATGTCATTGTTTGGCCATCCGTTCAAATCTCTCCTTATGAAACTCTCTCTAATCTTGCAAGGTCTGAGCCAGTCACGCACACACAATTCCAATACCATGTTTACAATTGATGTTCCAAGCATGAAGCACATGCCCTGACTGTAGCAATGTTGGAACGAATCAGACCTCCCAACTTCTCAACTTTGCCCCATACAGTACCCATCGTCACATCCACTTGTTTGACATGCTTTTGCCTAACTCAGGGTGGTTATGGGTAATTAGGTGGATTGGACGCAGGGATTGCCCGGGGTTCTGTTCATCACCTCGCCCAGGACCCGTGATGCGGGCAGGCACCGTAGGGCAGCAACTGCAGCCTGGCCCAGGTACGGGAGGTTGATGGATGTTGCTTTCAATTTCAATCGTGACTTACAATTGAATGAATCAGAACAGCCAAATGTGCAAAAGTACCAACCTTGCTTGGTGGCTTGCTGTTCCAAAGGACTCAGGCAGCTCTTGGATGCAAGGCTGCGCCAGGTTTTAGTGACAGGATTGATACGCACTTGTGCCCTTTTGACTGCCAAGATTGGCCCACTCCCTTCTAACTTCGCGGCTCCTCTGTCTTGAGCAGCTGCTGCCTCGGGCTGTCTGGGTAAAGTCAGTTCTGAATGAAAACCAAACTTTGTTTCGCAGCTGTGGCAGGAACGGGTGTTCATACAAAACCATACATATCCGAGGCAATTATTCAGCCCAATGCCTGACGGGTCAGTTTTCGCTGGGCCGACTCGCTCAAGACCAGAGATTAGCTCTGGCCATCGTTGACGCTTCGGTGAATACCCTTTCGCCAGGCTACAAACAGTGAAAAGTGTTTCAATAATTCTTTCAGACACTTATGCGTGATGACAAACATGTTACATGTTTGATGCATTCCATTTTGGGCCAGGTGGGCCGGGTGAATCCGTCAGTCAGCTGTCGACATTCACCAGTTCCAAGTTGCTGGTCATACGGTCCTGATAAATGGTAGGTCTAAGTCCGGAATGCCAGAACATCTCCACTTGCTCGGCTCTGAGCTCTGCGACATCTCCCGCCCAGACATTTCCTTCGCTGGGGTATTGATGCAAGTCCTGGCAGTGATTGTGGCAAGTGCAAAGGCTGCCCCTGAAACATTTGAGATTGTCCTGGTGCCGGCCGCTGCATCCACCAATACAGTGCTGAATGCAGACCTCCCAGAACCAAGCAATTTGACAAAAGACAAAGTTTCCCAGCACTCCAAGCAGGATCCATTCATTGGCTTGCAGGAGTGGTCAGCTGCATACTCAGCCCTGGCCTAGGCCTAGCTCTCACCAACCTGGACTAAGGCTAAGGCTCACCCTCAATTTGAATAAGGTCGGTTTGGACGCCCTGGGTCTCCAAACCTCAATGCAGTGGGGCATGATGCACCAGCAAATTGATCGCAGCTTAACTTACCAAGCTCAAGACCCTGCACGATAGAATTTCCAAGGACATCCGCGCCAACCTGCGTATGTTGCATATGCATGAAGCTTAAGATGCTATCCCCCGTACATGTTCCCTTGGGTGTCTTACATTACATTTCATAGACAAATTGTGTCTAGAGTCTATAGAATGAGTTGCCTGGGATAAGTTGTCTATAAAATGACAAGCCTTGCATGTATTTATATAAAATGATTACCAGCATGTGAAAACAAATATAAAACATATCACAATCAAAAAACAATCTCTATAAGATGAAGTTCTACCCCTTGACATCTTGATCTTAACAACATACAACAATATGATCCCCCTGCTCGCTCTATAGAATGCCCTTCCTGCATCCTTGCACACAATCCCATCTGAAGTACATACTTGCTCAAGCAGCCCTCTATAAAATGATGTCCTGTGATGTTCAAATATATTCTGTAAATCTGAAACCACATATTCTATATAAAATGGGTGTCCAAAACCCATTTCATAGAGGAAAGTGATTGTCATTTCATAGAGCCTCATGTACGGGGGATAAGATGCTCAGTAAAGTTTGGACTTGCTTGTTGCGGTGCTCATGTCGCTCTCAAGAACTTTACTAAGAGCATAAGGGGTCCTAGTTGGTGAGCGATGAAGCAAACTCCTTGGACCACTGTTGGGCCACAGGATGCAACCCAGTCGCCTTCGAAAATAGCCTTGCAGATCGGCCCAGGCGAGCCAAGGCTGAAGCGGTGTTGGCCGCATTCCCACCGCCAAGCCAAGCGGTTTGTAGAGCGCGCACCTAGCGCGTTTCCAAACGTTGTGCTTGAATGGGTTCTAGATGATTCTACGGTACCACACGTGCACACAAAACTTTGTACCAGCAAGGTCCTCTCATCCTTTCACTGCCAAGATCGATCTGCCATTTTCTGACGATACTTCGTGCTGGCTGCAGGTCATGGCACGCGGCCAGTAACGAGTCTACGGTGGACCTATTCTTTTCGAGCCACGACATGAGTGTAAGAGAGACCCTTCGGGATGGTGCAAAGACCAACCGCATGCACATGGCGGCTGATATCCACGGAGAGCTCCAGCTCAAACCCGTGGTCCTCGAGGTTTGGGTGACTCTTAGCTTGGCTGTTTGTAGCTTCAATGCTCCATACGATAAGAACTGTTGAACAGATGTGTGTTATACATGCGTGTGTATGTGTATTGGTATAAATATATATATATATACACATCTGTGTGTATACTACTACTACTACTACTACTACTACTACTACTACCACTACCACTACTACTACTACTACTACTACTACTACTATACATAAGTACACATACATGCATATAGCATCATATAGTGCTAGAATATGTATTTAACACAAACCTTAGCTGAACCATCACCTCCAGCGCATCCAGTAGCTTCGTGTTCGTTCTTCTCTCTATCGCATCGGCCAACAGCAAGCGCCCTCCCTGGCGCAAGGCGTGCGCACACCCTGCCACAAAGACATCCAGGTGTTCGAAGGATGCAAAAGACTCGATACAAATCACAAAGTCAAAGGATGCAGCCGGGATCGAGGTCGACAACTCATGCGCGTCCATCACCTCATATTCCAAGCCCGGCCATTCGCCAAAATTCGCCCTGGGGAGCTTGCCACTGTCTTGAAGACTCAAAAGGAAGCTGAAAACATGAGAGTTTTCAGTAGATTGTGCTTCATACATACCGGCGCCATTCTTTTCATGGTAATATTTATTTATATAATTATATATATATATGTGTGTGTGTGTGTGTAAATTAGTTCTACATATGATTCTTCCTAACATCGAAGTCACCGGGTCTACCGTGCCACCGTGCCTGCAGCTCTCAATGTGTTCCTGCACGTTGTCGACGGCCAAGAGTCTTCTTGGCTCAGCCGCCTCCATGAGATACCGGGCGCCACCCCCACGCATACAGCCCACCTCCAGGACGTCCTTGCCTCGCAGCAGCTCTGGATCGGCCTCCTGGACACTCGGAGACTTCTTGGGACGAAACTGAAAACAAGGCCAAGGATGAAAACAAAAAGATACGGCGTACAGTATAGAGTATGGAGTATATATAAGGGGTAAAAAAGGCGGATGAGCATTGGTCTTTGAAAGCTGCTGAGCAGATGGCAGCCACCGTCTGCTGACAGAAGTTGGAAGTTCCAAGATGTCAACCCGTGTCAAACTCTGAACTTCAAACGTCGAAAGCAACAGCAAGCTCTCTATGCCCACATAACTATGGAAGGACACCACCATGCTCTTTGGGTCCTGTTGCTATTCTAGCACCATTCTGAAGAAACACAACAGTTCCCTTTCACAAAGGATCACTGCCTTGCGCCGTTCGGAGATGTTGGTGGCCAAATGCCAGTAGAGAGCCCCACCGTACATCATCATTCCTGGTCCGTGCTGAGCAATCTTGGGCTTGCGGCTTGCAGTTACAGAAATGCACTCTAGCCAGATTTTCCGGCTGCTTTGCATAGTAACCACGCTTCCAAAGGTACCGAGACAAGAGAAGAGGACAATCCCACTAAAGCCACCTTTTCCCAAGTCTCACTTCACTTAGTATTCGAACATGTGCCCGCACTCCTCCAGTGAATTTGCAGTTTGCTCAATTTGCCCGCGACGAAAGCCCTGCTTTCTAAATCTTACTGCCTCCAGGCTTCGATACTCTTGGCTGTTGGGAACCACATCTTCGCGCTTTAGCACAGTGGCTTTTGGCAGCTGCACTCCAAAATCACCCCCACAGTTGCAAATGTGAGCCTGCAATGCATACGAGCAGAATGACAAGAACTCAGGCCAGAAAGGGTAGCCGTATACAGTGTTCTAGAAGGAGAAGGGCAACTTGAGGCCAAGTGGAGGAGGTGGAAAGCTAGCCGAATCGCACCGGATGTACTACAGTAGTTACATAGTTGGCAAAGCATGTAGTGATTACTTGTTTTGGGAGAAAGGTTGCTACGTACATACTTTGCGCTACATCGCCGACTGGGAAGGGTACATTGGAACTCGTTGGCAAGCACGAAGATGCGTGATCGGCAAATCTGGGGGTTAAATTTATCCCCCGCTTATGTATGCCTTGTGCCGGAAACAGGACTAAGCATTTCTGGCATCACAAGGACTGTGCATACACTAGGGCGTCCGTAGTGTAGGATAAGCACTGGTACAAGGTATAAGGAGTAGAGTGTCTTGAGGAAATAGCCGGCTTATGGTTGTGGCAAATCTGGGGGGTAAATTTACCCCCCGCTTATGCATGCCTTGAGCCGGAACGAGGGGTAAGCATCACAAGGACTGTGCATACACTAGGGCGTCCGTAGTGTAGGATAAGCACTGGTAAAAGGTATCAGGAATAGAGTGTCTTGAGGAAATAGCCGGTGTATGGTTATAGCAAACCTGGGTGGTAAATTTACCACCCGCTTATGCATGCATTAGGTTAGAAATAGGGGTAAAGAACTTGTAACAGTGAAGTACAAGTCCTATGCAGCAAGCAGCAGCAAGCAGCAGCAGCAGCCGCCAGCAGCCAGCAGCCAGCAGCAACCACCAACCAGCAGCCAGCCAGCAGCACCACGTAGCAGCAGCGCAGCACCAAGCCGCAGCAGCAGCAGCACCACCAGCAGCAAGCAGCAAGCAGCAGCAGCAGCGGCGTCGTCAGCAACAGCAGCAGCAGCACCAAGCCGCAACAAGTAGCAAAGCAGCAGCTACAAAAGCGGCAACCTCAGGCAGCAGCAAACAGCAGCAGCAAGCAGCAGAGCGGCAGCAGCAGCACCGTTTACACCAAGCCACCGTTTACACCCAACCAACCACGTTCATACGTTCAACCAACCCCCGCTACACGGCGCAACTGGGAGCGTGGGGGGGGAGGGGGGGAGGGGGGGAGGGTGAAAGAGTGACTAGGGCGTACACGGTAGAGGTGCAGACCGCTAGTGTCTTTTATGCGCAGAGTCTTATCCTCTTGCTCTTTGAGCCTTGAAGCAGTCAAGTATGGACACACTATATCGGCTGTTGGAGTGGAACCCTGTACAGGTAGGCTCTACTTTTCAGCAGGCACAAGATTCATGTCCACTCCTAGCTGATTGCGTATGTCGCACACTCTTTTTCTACTGCAAGGCTAAAACAGTCCAGCTAGCTCTAGCAACTTAAAAGAAAACTACGGTGCCATGTACTTACCTAATCCAGTGTGTTTCACACTATAGAGAAGGTAATCTCAAAGCTACTAAATACAGTGAGGGAGCAATAGCTGACTCACCTCAAGTACAAAATCAAAACGATAATGTACCTCGGCTGGAGACTGTATTTTTCACAGGCGGAGATACCATGCACCGGCGCTCACTAGCTCTTTATGGCCTGAGCTAAATCAAACTAAAAAGGGAAAGCGGCTTTTTCTCTACAGAGACCTATAAAAGAATCAAACGACACTCGCGTAACAAGGAAACAAAAACTCAAGACCGCACAAATGCAATTAATTAAAATGCCTTGCAAAATGCAAGGAGCGTACGGTCCGAGGAATAATCTTCTCGTGACGTGGTCTCGACCGCTTTCATCCACAGACAAAATAAAACTGCATCAAAAGGACTCTCTTTCACATTCACATCAAAAACACAAGAAGGAGATACCGGCAAATGTATGTACAAAAAAATCTTGCACTACAATTGCAAATCATGAAATGACTTAATCATCAACCATGACTGGTTGTCCATTAGAGGTCACTTCATAAGAGCGGTGGTGATAGATATCATCAGTTATGTAAAACTGTCCATATCTACCTGCTAAAGTTTAAAACTTCAGCCCGGCAACTTAAAGTCAAGCTTGGAAGCAAAGTATCAACTGTAACCAGAAGTATCTTCACTTCCTAGCCATCATTTAAATTTCAGCCTTCGCTCAGGAATTATGCCGCTGCAGACGATGAAGCTGCTTGATCAGAAGTTGGCGGCCTTCCTTTCTTTCTATTCTGCTTCTGTCTCTCCTTCCTCCGCAAGTTCGCCTCATGAAGAGTTGCTCCCATGCGATACTGTCTTCTGTCTCCAGATGAAAAGGAAGCTGGTCTGAGTGAAATAAACATTGGACCATGACTGTCCTCGTCAGAGGGTCTTGAGCACATAACCTCCGTGTCAATCATAGCAAAGTTCTCTGAAAAATTACAGATGAACTCCTTCGTGCTCACTGTGGAATTTTCATATTCCTCTTCACTCATTGAATGACCCCATTCAACAATGGTAGACAAACATGTATCGCCAAGCTGTGATCCTTGGTATTCTTCTTTTTCAGCAGTAGAATATTCTTCCCAGAGTTTATCAAAGTAAACTTCACACTTCTTGAGGACCTGTGAAGTTGAACTGTAACATGTTCTGGGAATAGGTGCTTTGATACCAGGATCTGCTTTTACACGAGCTTCTGAAAACCTGCGGATCCAATGCTGCATGGTGCTGTAATAGTAGTTAGCCATTGGCTGCCTTTTGTACCCAGACATTCTGTAGGCCAAACTATTTGCATCACCAGAAATGATGTCCACCTCATAGACAAAACACTCGTAAAGCATCAATGCTGTCTGTTCTCCTGTCAGTAGGTGGGCATCCACAGCACGGTGTGTATCAACATGATAATTACAGACTCTGATGGTATGCATGTTCGCTCGAGTAAGTGGAACACGCTTGTCCTCAGGACCATAGTCATCAAATTCAAAGTCTGCATCCTTGAAATCTTGACGAGGCCTTGTTTCTCCAAAACAAATCTCGTAGATAGCCCAAGTTACATCACGCTGTTCACAGTGACCAAGTTCTTGATCATGTCCAGCAATGATCTTGACATATCCACCTGGTGCCAATCTAGCCATCACTGCAAGATTCTCCCAATCATTGAAACAAACTGTCCAATTCTTTTGCTCAATAAATTCCTTGGCAGGAACAAGAAGATGAGCTTCCTGGAGAATCACGACATGTGCACGTAAAAAGAAGAGCATGTTGAAGAAAAGGTTGTTCTCAAATTGCTCATTCTGAAGTGACATGGCGCTCTGTTTGCGTGGCCTCATTGCACTATCAAGTCCTTGGAGAAACCTTGGTGTGGTGTACTTCTGACCACGAACCATGTTGCCATAGTTCCAGGATAAAAATGTCAAGGACTCTGAGCTGGCCAATAAGTTAGTTCCATATGGTTCTTCTATTCTTCCCTTGAGGAACCTTCTGCACAGCTCTTCATAGAAGGTGACAAAGTCCCAACTGGGTCCCTTGGGACCATATGATTCCAGTTCCTTCTTAAGTTCCTTCTTCGTATCCTCCAATTCTTCTCGAGCATGTTCTGCCCTTTCAAGGGCCTTTGGATCGACCTGATACTTGCCATCCAAATGAATGATGCGATCATCATTGATAAAGAATCTCTTCAAATCATGCTCTGGTTCGTGTTCATAACAATCAGGTGGAGGTACTGGACAGATATTACGAATGGATCGAACAAAATCATTCTCGTTGATCCTTGACTGATAATGAGGATGGGAAATCTCACCTTTTCTGAAACAAACATGATTCAGCAATCTTGCGTGAGTTTCCCTGAAGCATTGTTGATAAAGGCCAATACCTGGATCTCCTGTAAGCTCTCCAAGCAACTTCAAAGGTGAAGTATGCAACTCATAGGTATTGTCAACTTTTGTTGTATCCTTTTCAACAACTACTTCAGATGGAAAAGATTCCTGGATTTCAGCCTCCAATTTCTTCTCTCCATCATCCTCTCTGACCTCTTTTATTTTCTCCACCGCCTCTTTCTTCTCTTCCATGGTTGCATCATCCTGAACTTCTTCGTGAAAATGAGGATCAGGTATTTTATTCAGGCGGCTTTTCTTAGATTTCGGCAGACGTGGAGTATCATCAAGGTTAGCATCCATCTCACCTGATGGTAAGTGCGATGCAGCCGAGTCCTCACCTATCTCTCTTGACAGAAAGTGTGGTGTTGACTCCTCCTTGGCTTCCTCCTGGTCCACTTCCATCTTTGGTTCCTCTGAAGGAAAAACACCTGCATTCTCATCAAATATTTCTTCTTCCTTTTCAGGTTCAACTGCAGGATCTTCTTCAGGAACTTCCTCTTCCATATCCTCATCTTCTAGAAGTGTCATACTTCCAGTATAGATTCCACCAGCGATAGTGGAGACTCTTGTATAAGGAGGAACTTCTTCACCTGCATCAAAAGCTTGTTCTGCAACATCCTTGGCGAGCAAGTCCTCTACAAGATTTTCTCCCATGGTTCTTGGAAGAGGTCCTGAGGTCTCATAAAAATCTGTCCTCTCTGAACTGAAAGCTTCTGTCGCCTTCTCATTGTCCTTTTGATCCCTGAACAGGTGAGTAATCTTCACAGCTTCTCCCTGTAGCACCTGATCACCTTCTCTATACTTGTCGACAATGGAGCGCCATACTGGAACATTTATCATCATCGAAATCAAGCTCCATATCATCTGCCAACAGGTATGAGATGTTTTGAGCTGCCTGTTCTTCTTCTTCCTCACGTTCCTTGGCATGCTCCTCATCCTTCTGGATCTTAAAGATACCCTTCAGGATGTCTTGTAGTACCTTTAAGTTCAGCTTCGATGATGGCTCATACGTCCCTGAACTTACAGGCTCAACTACAACACGAGAGCAAGAAATCGCCTCCAAAAACTTGGAATTGTATTGGCGTTCAAACTCTTCCTTCTTGATCATCTCATACAAGGGATCAGAAACTGCAACACGCGCTTGAACATACTCACGAAGTTGATAGCATGCATGTTGCACAAATCTACTGTTGGAGT